ACATCCTCACAAACTTTCTGTTGAGATGAAAAGCCTGACCTTTTATCAGCTGCGCCAAATGCATTAGCAGCCTCATAATCCAATTTCAAGACCATGCAAAGTGGAGGTTTGACTGAATTTTAGTGTGGCAAAAGCAGGGCGGAAAAAAAAACAAAAACCACCACGGTGAGTGTTTCTTTAGGTGAGGATCATTGGGTTCTGTTTCTCTCTTTGCTGCCTGCTTGCCAGACTCTTCGGAGCTGCTGACTTGCAGGGGGACTTCAAGGGCTTTGCACAGCTGAGCTCCGTGAGCTCCGTATCTTTTTCTCCCTGCTCTCCTGCTTCCCCCTCCACCACCACCACCACCTCTTCCTCTGCGTCTCTCCGACTCTTTCTTGCCCGTGCTCTAAGGAGCTTTAGAAACTCGACTGGGTAATGGGAGCAGCAGTCAATCAAATTGCAGTTTCAAAGGTGATGCTTTGTTTCACGCTCGCTTCCCACATTTCCCATCGAGCCTGGCACCTGTCAGGTTGTCGTTCTGAAACGCAGCATCCGATGCCAGTCACCCAAACCACCCGGTCCCTAAGCAGATGGAGGGGTTGACTTGTCAGCTGCCTGTCGAGAAATGAGGTCATCCCATTTTGCGAGGTCTGCTTTTTTTAATAAGGCGAAACAAAACAATCTAAAAAAGAAAGCATTGTGTGGAAGTGTTTATGTCTGACTCACTTTCATGTAAACTCGGCAACAGACTGAGCTCAGTTCATGCTACAGGTTTTTAGGGTGAAAAGTGATATTTGCGTTTTCTTTATATGAGGGTCTAACAAATTTAACATAAATAAATCCTATATTTCTATTGGTGCCCTTCAATTTTACTGAGTCTGACAGCATTGTCAAAACACCACTGGAGCTGCCAGTTCTAATAACACGGAGGTTAGTAATAAATTGTCAAGTGAGCTCTTGTTGTACCGTGATCCCACAGAGGAACAGTAAAACCTGATATGGCAGAGTGGGCAGGATCTCTGGACGCCCACTGCAACCAGGGGTCCTCGTATCTCCAAGGGTTTTATAGGCTCAGGTCTGACTCATTCCAGCTTTACAGTCACAGTGACCTTCCCATTAGGGCTCCATTACCAAAGGTCTATTAGAGAGAGAGGCGAATACCCGGGCTATTTATCCAGCTGCAGCCTCTTCTTATGAACTGCAGTGGATAAACAAGGGCGCAACTTTGTAAGGCTTGCAGAGTCACGGGTGAATGCCTTCATTAGGGCACAGGCATATAAACACAAGAAATTATTTCAAGGCACAAAGTATAATGTACAGTAACTGGCAATCACAGGAATTTGGACCCCACCTTTTCTCAAAAGGAGCAACTCCCCACATCAACAAAGGGCCCCTAAAGGGTCTAATTAGATGACTGGATCTAAGGAACTGTCCTGTATCTGACTAAAATGCTGTGTCGTAATGACAGCAACCAGGGATGTGAGGTAAACAAACTGATGGGAACTTAGACTCCTGAGAACACCAGCATTGCTTCATGTCTGTCCAGCTTTGTGGATGTTTAATTTGGTGGTCTTTTGATGAAAGATGCAGATTAGGTAGTCGTCTTCCTACACATTCACTGCATCTGTTTCTCCTGGAGAAGACGGCGTGATAAAGAAAAGGCTGTCACAGACTAATTTCAACTCAATTTAGGTCCATTTACTTGGTCCCTGGAAGCAGCTTTACAAGGTAAGGGTTGTGTAGTTGTGCCATGCTTCTAGAGGTCATATGATAATCAGGAGATGGCTTCCACCACGGTAAAATCCCCATATAATAATATTTACTATGCTGTGGGAAAGAGTGGCAGCTGGCCAACAAGAGCGTGCTGGGTAGACTTTTTTATGGATATTTTTATTTTCTATACATACATGCAAACAAATGCTAAGTTATCTTCCCTGAGGAGTATGAAATGCTTAAATCTGTACTTATTTTGGAAGCATTTTATTTCTTGGTTATACTGCTGCCTGTTTTCTTTATACAGTGACATGTGGGGACAATCAGGTGAAATAGCATGAAGTGGAATATTATTTTTTATGCAAGTGTAGGTCTTTCTGTTGTGTTGCAAGGTGCTAGCTTGCTGTCAGATATCTGACCTTAACTCTACCAGAAAATAACTTCAATAGCTCTGTGAAAAAAAGAATCCATAATCCGGCCCTTTGATCAGAGTGTGTTTCTTCAGGGCCCACCTCAGAAAGACGTAACAGTATCCCTGTCAGGGTTAAATGCTCCTCACTCTTCTCTTTCATACTGAAGACTGACTGACAGCCAGGAATGAGCAGCTTTCCACGAACAAACTTCATACAGGAACTTCATGTCATCTCTGCAGTTCAGGTTAAGTAGCAGCGGCAGGATTAAAAGGTGGAAAGAATTATAAGTCATAAAGCTAAAAGGTAAATCAAGTGCAATTTGGCTGTCTTGATACATGGATTAATTCTAAACGATTGCAAATTCAGTTGTGTTGGCACTTTATACTTGACAATGAAAGTTCTATTAAGTTTAATTTAGAAATGCAAATTACTGTTTATGTTTGTTATGATCGGCAAGTGACGGGAGTCTCGAATCTGAATGTGTTTCAAGCTCCTTTTTTTTTTGCAAATCGTAAATAGAAAGCCTCTGAGCGAAATAAAAACCAGCGAATATTATTATATCTCAAAGGCAGCAATACAAATATTACAGGCATACAGCTGGGCTGGCACACACAAGATATGCAAAGCAGCAAGAGGTGCAAAACAAAAATGCAGTGTTGAACATGTGGTGCATATTTCAAATCAAATCACAACACTTGCAACTGCTAATCCTGTCCCTGCAAATAAAACTCTATACTGTGCTGTCAGTACTCAAGGCTCAAGCTGAATACAAAGTTGTATTTATAATTAACCTGTAGCACTAAGCTTTTAATGCGAAAATAAACCTGCGAAGGTGGGAGCTCAGTATTTCTAAGAAACTGCAAAGAGAAAATGTAAAGATAAGGCAGATTCTTTTTATGTTATTTGAAACCAAACTGCAGAGATGACCTCATAAATAGGAAAATATATTCTCATCCAAAGGTGTATTATACCAAAGTGTAACACCTTCCAGATGGTCAGAGTTAGATTGAGAAAAATCTAAATAAACCACACAGTTTTTGGAGAATTTCTTTTTTTAGTTATATCAAAGTAACAAAGCATCTGTTTACAGCCAGACCCTCCACACAGGAGGAACCTTGCATAACCCTGCTTTTGTCAGTGAAAACCTCTAAACAGATTGCTATTAATATTCCCACTGGCAATAAGCTAGAAAAATGGTTTCATACTGTATCCCTGCAAAGAGTGTATTGATATTCCAACTGACAATCAATAACATCATGTCTATCGCTGACCAACATCTCACACCCATGTGATCTGAATGCGCAGTCACCGAACACCAGTCACACATTGTCTTCTTTATTTAACTAGCTGCCAGGCTTGTCATCAACCTCTGTGGGTTAGTTTACACTGGATAGTTGCCTTGACTACAACATGCTGACCAAACCTGTGGAGGTAACCTTCATTTAAAACATACAGATCTGTGGCCTCCACTAAGCCTGGATGGATTGGCATGTGGATTTAGTCGGCCATCAGAGGGGACAGATAACCTTGTCATTTCTGCTCTCGCTGCCACAGGAGGGCTACATGATGGAGATTTGGCCTCTGTAAATCCTCTTAAAACATACACACACTCACACTGAGGTGCTCTGTGTTGGTCACACACACAGCAGCACATACACTCCAGCCCTGAGCCCAGCAGCAAAAGGTCACAAGCCCCCAAGTGACAGATGTCAATCACAGGAGGTGAGTATCATCCAATCCCTTAATAACACACTGAAAGGTTCTGGGAGACCATGGGAATAGTGGTGGCCTGACTTGCAACCACTGGAAATGACCTACAGGGAATCTGCACCCTGCCATCAGCTCAAGTGAGTCGAGAGACAGCCATTAGGGTTCAGTAAAATAAACCAGACAATACAATGGAAGGGAAGTGAATGACATTTTGTACTCGTCGCAAGGTTTTACTAGATTACGGCTCATTTAGAGAATGAATGTTTCTTTAACTGATGCCCATGCATTTACACTAATAACCGTGCAACTGTTTAGTAAATTGCTTGTGTGAAATTGTCAACAAACTAGTATTGCAAAAAAAAGTGCAAGTTTCCCAAAACTAGATTGATTTAGCTTTGTAGGCTGTTGGCTTGCTACATGGACATGATTATTTAGCTGACAAGTAAAAATGTCACATTACTGACAGCAAGAAAACCACATAACAAGTCATTTTCTATCGCATGTAAAGAAAAAACGAGGTCACTTTGCTGTTGCGGTCCTCCCAAAAAACATCCAAAAAAATAAAAAAATAAAAACATACCCGATGCATGGAAGTGGTTTATGGAGGCTTTTTGTAATCACATATCACCACAGTAAAATGAAACCAAAGCTCTGCATGGCACTGTCTTCACATCAAATATTTGTATTGACATGGAGGCGCATTACAGCCCCCCCAGCAACAAGCAGCTGAACTCAGATGCAGTGTGACTGCCTGAAAAGGTGTGTGAGAAGCTGGGGAGGATTACCTGTGATCCAAGGATAATGAAAAAAAGAGACCTGATATTAAATTCTAACACATGGAGAATTACTGATAGGCTCCTGTTGTTCTTTTACTTTGTCTGTGGATTTTGCCGGCGTGCGCTGGGGAATGCCTCGCAGGACGCAGCATGCGATAAAACCCTATGTGAAATTCATTGTTTTCCCGCGAACCACGTGTCCCGCATGGCGAGTAAAAAGTGAACAAACACAATCACACCACTGCTTATACATTATAGATGAGGTGTAAATGAACTAGACTGTTGCAAAGGACGAGCACAAAGCACAAAGCTAGTTAGTGTCATTGGAATGAGCAGGAAAGGTAGAGCAGTGTTGTACAATGAGTATAGTGGACGACTACATGTGGGCTGTTTTATGGGGGTCCCCTACCTGTCTGAAGCTGCAGGACGTGCGTTGCGTGGCTTGTTGACCTGGGCGTACAGCGCCTCCAGGGGTGGGCCGTTGTTTGGAGGGCTGAGTGGCGGGTGAGGGCTCTGAGGACTCTGAGGGAGATGGTAGTGGTGGCTGTAAGGGTCTATGCTGCTGTCTACCGACGAGTCTAACGACCCGATGCCGGCGTACGTGTGGTCCTCATCCGAGCTGAAGGTGCGGCTGACGACGTCTTGGATCTCGGCGTACTCCCTCTCCTTTGCCTGCCTCTCCCGAAGCTCTCGTGTCTTGGCCTGTATTCTGTGATAAACACATCAGGGTTGGGGGGGGTTACTTTAACAAACTGACATTATTTCCTGCTTAAAAAAATGTAGTCAGTAATCTCATCAAGTACCAAGTATCAAGTAATGTGACTTTGTAACTTACTGTTACTTTGGACTAGCTCAACACCAAATATTCAAATTGGAGAAAATAAATATGTGCAGGCTGAGCGGCTTTCCAGCTTCAGCAACCAGACAGAGCAGGATTCCGAAAAGCGACAGTAAATATTGGCTGCTGATCGACTGAGACCTGACCTGTCTCCATGTCTGGGACAATTAATAGGCTTTGGAGGCACTAATATAGTCGGATGCTGCACATATATGTGTGTGGAAAAAAAAAAAAAAATAAATAACACTCTCAAATAGCATCATCCCTCCCACTGCAATAAAAAAAACATTTTAAAAACTACTTACATTTTACATTATCAGTCTGACAAATCATTTTTAAGCAGTTAAAAGTAGTTTGGTATAATTTAAACTGCAGAAAAGTGAGCAATGTTTTACAACTTTTATTCTTTGCCTTTGTCTCTGGGTAATGTATGTATTTTTCCAACGTGCAAAAGAGGCATATCAAATTGTCTAATATTAACTGGTTCTTAAAAGATTATTTCTGTTTTTCAGGCACTGCGTTTGTGTGGATGGGTTTGGAAAAGGACCCAGTGTAATATTCTGTCCCACATTCAGAGAGGCTTACAGCAACATTCCAACTTTTAAGTTTAATCTCAGATACAGATCAGTCCAGACTTGAGAAGAAGAGGCCTCTCCTCCACAAACTTCTAAAGTGGCTTTCGTCTCTTGAGTAACAGGGAACAGGAACAGAGACAGAAACGAGTTCTCCTCTAGAGAGAGAAGCCGCGCAGCGTTATTGAAATATGCGGCTTTCCTTGAGCCATTAGTCGGCCAGGACGAGTGTGCCGATCTTATCCCCGAGGCCCTGTAACGAGAAAAGGTGGGAGGGAGACAGTCAGGCCTCCTCTTCCTCCTTCCCGCCCCTTCCTCTCCCTCCATGTTGTTGCTCACCCCGGGACCACTGCCACACAACAGAGCCTTTCACAGGCCTTTCCTGTGTCACAGAACGGTTCCATGTGAATGCCCATCTGTCCGCAGCTAACAAGACTCAGTCATGGTGTTGCATGAGAGTCAGGAGAGCTGAAGCGGGAGCAGGGAGGTGGACAGTGAGGAGAAGGGAGGGCTAAGGACAGGCAAACGAGGGGGAGTTGACCTCCCACTGTGGTGACCCTGGCAGCAGCCACCAGACTGCTCACTAGTTCCAGATGTTATAGATGCTGTAGGGGAGCGCACTCGTCCACACAGGGATGCAAGCATGCTACCTCCCACTGGTGCTAGACTTCCCTATTACCTCAGGTCATAACTGACCTCTGACCCTCCCCCATTCACTGTCGCTCCTAACAGATGATTGACAGGTTTGGAACAGAGCTACAATCCCCCCTAGAGCTCACACTCCCATGTCTGTGTATTTTAATAACAGTAATCACATTTCAAACAATCACCATTTTTCAGTGACGGATTAACCCAATTCCCACATCCTACCCATAGACTGCCTTGTTTATTTTTAGCCGTCCAAAATCCCATTTTCTCAGCATTATCTGCAGAATGAGATTTTGATGGAGGCCTGATGCAATGTTGCATGATGTGCAGTCATCTATAAAGGCTCGGAGCTGGTTTGCTGTATTTTTGCATTGCTGTGGACCAGGTACGCTGTGAAAATTAGTTCAGTTGTGTGGAGTGAGCGTGTGCTGACTTTCACCGGTGTTGTCAGGAAAAAGAAAACAAGTCTAACGGAGGAAAAACACTGATTCCCAGAGGCCCCTTCACCTGCCATCTGGCTAAAATGATGTCAGATCTCTGCCAGGAAGGACCAGACAATGATGTTACCACAGGTTCACGGAAGTCCGCTGGGATCTCAAGACCCTTTGGCGTTTTATGGACTAATCAGATTCATAAAAATGGCAATATTGACTTTTGGGATGAGATAATGGCCTCGACTAGACTGGCGACATCCAACTAAAAGAGTTCTCTTGCAGCCCTCAGGAGTCTGGATAAGGCTAATAGGTGCATTTCAATAAAAGCAAATTAACAAGCGAAAATGCCAAAGTTGTGAGTCATGCTGTTGGCATTAGCGTTATTACGAGCAGATCAATGTGGATCAACACTCATCAACTTACGTACCAAATGAACTTTTGTTTGAATGCATCACATCCTTCACATTTTTTCAGGGGAGACGTCGTGTCTCTTTTTGTTGTAGGAAACATCTATCTGTCTGTGGAGAAAACATGTCCACAATCCAAAGCTGTCACTCTGCTGTGACAGGCCAATTACAACTTGTTTTGACTGTCAGAAAAATAAATCTGGGCTATCATATGGTGTTAAGTGTCCAGGTGGCAGCGGGTCTCTTTTTGGCAAACTGATATTGAAATGCTGCTTTCTAAAGATGGCTGTTATTGATGTGTCAAAAATGAAAACCAGCAGGATTTTAGCAAACCTCTCGCCTTACAATTGTATTCATACACATCTTCAAATGGATGACAAATTGAAGGAAAAACCAGCATCAAGGCACCACGTGCTAGCAGATCAGCTTCAGTACACACTGACTGTCCACTCTCTACATATCAGAGTGGAGCCAAACCACGGCAGCAAAATGCCCCTCATAGCATAACAGAGCCGCTGTATCCTCACTGTGGGGGTCAAGGGTTCAGGTTTTTCCTTTACTTTGTCACATGTCTGTATTTTGCCTTATTTTTGCTACAAAATTGCACCAAACTTTAACTTTTAGACCCATTAGAGTAGTCTCTTTGGGAGTTCAATGGTCTGTCTGGTAAACATTAACATATCTCAACAACTAATGAATGGAATTCTATGAAATGGTGTCGAGGCATTAATGGAGCCATGAGCATGAATCAAAATGTGTGCACAGATATTCATGGTGGCCAGAGAATAAATCATTTGTGTATTTCTTTGAAGTTAGCACTACTTTGTTTGAAATGTGGGGTTTTAAGCATAGACTGTATAAAAGATGGACGTAGCAACCGGCCCTGAAAAATGAAGCCAATTGGGAAGTGTCAGAAACCTGCAATATCACTACGTCCGCGAGCTGCTGGCTCCAAAAAGCCCTGGCTCCCATAGGAATGAATTGGAAAAGAAGTGATCACAAATCACGAAATACTGCATTCCTACAGCTCAGGATTTTTTTCATAATTAGTTTTCATGGTCAAATCCAGAGATCAGGTGGCCAATCTGAAAATAAATCAATACAGAATTTGTAAAAAATCGTCAACATTTTGCGGGGCAAGGGGCGTGGCTGGTTTGATAGACAGTCGGCAGCGACGATGCAGATGAAGCGAGCAGAAGGCGGTAAATGTGGGCGGGCAGAGAGGGCCCGCCTCTCAATCCGTCTGACCAATCGCTGCTCCTATGGCTCCGCCCGCCTCCGACGATTTTTGCGTCACTGGCTCCAAAAATCCAAGATGTCAACCAGGAAGTAGCAAAACCCTGGCTTCATTTTCTCAGTGCAGAAACCAACGGGTGACGTCACGGTAGCTACGTCCATCTTTTATACAGTCTATGGTTTTAGGTGAAACATCTCAAAAGCACTATCTACTGACACTTTTTTATCCCCCCTCAGGGTAAAGTGTAATAACTTGTTGATCCCCAAATTTCTGATAAAAAAAGCAAACAAGTAATAAAATTTAAAAAAAAAAACATGTTAACACACAAATCTAGAATTGGGATAATGGTTAATAATATATCTACAACATTAGCATGTTAGCTGCCATCATTATGTAGCTCAGAGCTCCATGTGTACAGCCTCACTGTGCTGCTGCACAACTCTTGGTTTATTTATATGACTAGGAAACATTTATTTTCAGTTTATCTCCAAAATGTTCACTGTCGTCATATTTCACTCGGTCTGCCTCCATGCCGGTGACAGCTGTGGCCGCAGGCATTATGTTTTCAGGGTTGTCTGTCCAATTCTTGTGACCGCAGTATCTCATGATCACCCAGAGGGAAGTTCTTCCAAGTTGGAACAAAAGTTTACTTTGACTCAAAGACGAACTGATAAGAATTTGGTAATTAAAGGTCACTGTGTAAAACATTTTTGGCCATAACCCGTGAATTATTGCACTAATTAAGTCACAAGTTAACACAGATCTCACGGGGGATAAAACGATGAATTTATTACATTTTGTGTTCTACCAGAATTATCTTCATTGGCCAAACATATGAACACATGCAGTGAATTTAATTCAGTTTTTTTGCTTCCCTCAGTGACACACATTTCAAAGTCTTCCCTACATGCAGTAAATGAGAGTGACAGACATGGATGCAAATTGTAATTTGACTGGTTGGCAGAACTGTAAAGCAGTAGTTCTAGTTTTTTTTATGACGAGCGCAGGTAAAAAATTGGGAAATATTTTTTACATTTACAATCTAACAATTTACATTTAAGGATCAATCACAAATTAGTCTTATGCATTAAGTCAATTCTAACTTAATTACATAAGGTACGTTTTGTTTTTGTTTTTCTGTATTCCATAATCTTTTCCTAATGGTAACCAGCTGCTGTAGTAGCCCCAACACCTGGACCGCACACCGCTGTCTGTCTGTAGGGCCCTTCTGCCCTGTATATCCAAGCTGTCACCCCAAGGTCCAGAAAAACATTAAGCAAGGGTAAGTGTATGAATGTACTTGCAAGAAACAGCATTGGAAGCATTTCGAAGTCATTTTTTCTGATCTGTAATATGCTCATTAGCCCCAAACCTTACACACCTGCTAACTGTGTTCCTCCGGCTCCTCTCCGTCCCCGACTCTCTCCTCAGAGGCCACCCCTGCACTGTACCATATATACTCCATTAGCCAATTAATGGCCCGGCATGTTAACACTGAGGAAAGTGCTGCCCACACTAAACACATTATTACTGTACAGCCCCAATTACCAGCCCTTCTCCTCTCTTCTCCTCTTACCAGATGCTACAGTACATTTTAGTGAAGAGGGCACTGTAGCTTTTAATGCAACCAGCCCGAGGAGGTTTTATTTCAAGAAGGGGACAATCAAACTCTAGTGCAGCCCCACTGTGGATCTTTATTTTAATTACACCGATGAAACAAAAGCAGATCATCGCAGGACCCCATCAGCACCTTTGTGTGTTGTTTGTACCTTTAAGTAAAAAACAATGCCTACTTACTTGTTCTTCATAACTGAACTGGAAAAGGTATTTCCTTCTGGCGAATAGACAGTCTAGACAGTCTAATGCTGAGGCTTTTAGGGCAGTTAAAGTTCAGCCCCTAATCCACTGGCTGCCTGTGTCTTCAAGAAAATTATGTGTGAGCCAGATGATGCAGTTTTTTCCTTAACTCATTCCCCATTCCGCTTGTTTGTTCTCATTCATTGTCACTGAAAAACACGTTCACGGCAACTGAGGCTGAATTAGTAATGAAACCGATGCTCAAGGTTGGTCTCGGTGCATGAATAGGAACACAAGAGTGCCACGTCAAGCAATTACTTTAACATATTACACCGGTAGAATGAGAGACCTGGCGTGAACCGGTAGCAATGTGCCAGCTCCAGTCCTTCCTCTACACACTGAATAAATCGCACTGTTAATCCAACGGGGCTGTTGTTTTGGACCAACAAAGCCGGCAGACTCCTTCTCCATATGTTTGTCAATCTTTAATCTACCCAAAGGAGACAACAGGGAGAAGGGGAGGAGGCGGGGCCGTCTTTTACTCTCAGACATTCATTTTGAAGTCAGCACACTTAGAAGTTTGAAAGCATGCCTCTTCAATATGCATTGTTACTGTGGTGGATGAAACAGAATGTATTTGCTCTTTTACTTTCTCATCCAGCTGCCTTGAATAGATTTTTCTTTTCAATACGCCCTCATCAAAACATGTTCCATTGTTCTGAAGAGCAGATGGAGGGCAGAATGTATCTGAATCTAATCAAAGTGCAGTAAATGACTCCGCGTGCAGCTGTCTGTGCAGAATCGCAAACCTCCGATAGCCTATCTTTTGTGTTGACACTTGGCCCATAACGGCATAATGCAATCACGGAGATAATTGTTCAAGTTTCGGGGTGTTAATTCTCCGTGTTAATAATCACATTAACTTGCTGTAGGTATCAATATAATTACAAATGTAATCACACTTCCCAATCAGTCAGTCGGAGCTTCCTCTGAACTTGCTATGCAAATGAGACTCAAATAGGATATTGAAATAATGAGATGGTTTGACAAAGTAGAATAATATCACTGGAACAAAAAAAATTGGAAGGGAGGGATCTGCCTTATAGCAAATTGCTTTATTTTTTTTTCTATTGGCGGCACAGACTGTCTGTAAGCTGAATATAAAAGAACATCTGTTTAGTTAAGTAAAAAAACTCCCATACCTAATCCAGGTTTGTCAAAAGTGAATTGTGCTGACAGTTTCAGAAACACTGGTTGGGTTTTGTTTATCTAGAGTCAGCAGGAAGTCCGACAACAAACGCGAGGAAGCAGGCCACTGTCGAGGAAAAAAAAAAAGGCAGTGATGTGCTCTGCTGTGGTCTGGGGAGCGGGAACAAGAAGAGTGGCAGTGGAGTGCTGGCCGCTGATTAGAAGCCAAGCGGAGCCAAGCAGATAAGAGAGAATGGACATCATAATCAGCTGCCACAGAAAAAGACAGAGAGAATAGAGTTCAGTCCAGGCGGAAAATGAAGAAGAACCATTGTCAGGTTGGCTTTGTGAACTCCCCACTTTGGGCACAAAAACAGTTTCAGGCCGAGCATGTGTGGAGATAAGTCAGAGACTGATAGACGCTCTGCTAACACCACCCGCCCTGTGTTTCTTTCTTTCTCTCTCTTCACCCCCGTGGCTTTGCATGAAAGAGGGCCACAGCCACCCAGGGTCCAATCAGAGTGCTTGTTGATTCCACGGTTCTCTCAACATGAGCCAATCAGATAGGGGTGTCTTGGGTGCTGTCCACAGGCACAAAGAAACCAGAGTAATGGCTACCTCCGCTGAGCTGAACATAGATTTCTATCAGCCTAACCACAGGTTATAATGCTTCCTTGATGAGACATGAAACAGTCAATCACAGGAGTTGTGCAAATTCTGCCAGATTTTCACAAAACAAATGCTGCTGATAAGCACTCTTCATCGAGTGGATGGAACGCGAGCGCTCTGGTAATGAAGTCAAAGTTTTATGTACTCGCTTTTCCATCATTTTCAGTCTATAAGAGGCTGACAAGGTATCAATGGAGGAGAGCGGCTTCCCTCAAAATAAATGGTTTGTGTCTGCAAGGACCACAGGCCAAACCATAAACTACAAGAATCATATGAAGGTCAGGGTTTTAAATATATGACCATAGCTACCTTATTGCAGGGTAAAAGGGGCAGGTTTTATGAATTAATCTGTTTCACCTCTTCGCTGACTCCTATTTTGAATCACTAAAAGCCCCTGTCAAAACTGTCTGCTCGAATTAATGATCGCTAATGTCAGCTGAGCCGCGAGTTTGGCTGCGGCCCATCCCGGGTCGCGCTCGCACACATTGCTGGCTGACGACTGCCAGCTTGGGAAGGCCGATATGGTCTGATCCATAATTTCATAACTGCTCTCTGTCTCGGTGTCAGCGGTGTAATCAATCTGAGCGTGTACCTCGCTTTATGTGGAAGGACTATGGCAATCAAATGTAGCACCTTGGGAGAGTAATACAGTAATGCTACCAAAAAATACAAGAAGTAATGGATTTCTGAGCTGTCGTCCTGCTGAACCCTAACACTTTGAATATCGACTTGGCTTCATGGCAGGTTGGTTTATTATTACCCACCAGAATTTCCCTCAGGATTCCCTTTCCATTAACTGAGGGACAATCCCAGTCTGGCTGAGTGATGGGATGTGGAAGCAGGTACAAAAGGAAAGAATTAGGTTGCTCTCGTGCATAGGAAGCTGGGATCGGAGCTCACACATGCAGAACGGACACAAACAAGACAGGGAATGAGAATGTGATGCAAGACAAAGAGGCAGGCAAAGAAATGGGTGACAGCAGTGAAAGAAAAAGAAGTCGGAATGGGATTTAAATAGTGTGTGTGTGTGTTGGGAGGGCACGTCCTCTACATATCTCATGCCCGCTGTGTGTCTGTGTTGATTCTGCTGCTTAGCATGACAGTTGCTTGGGAGCTGCTCAAAGGGGATAGATCTGGACGGAGAACCAGGCCTGCAGGTCTCCAGGGCCCACTGAGGGAAATGTGTTGGGCCCCCGGCCAGGGAGGTTCACACCCTCAATGGAGAGGACCTTCACTGCAAGTCATAGCGGAATACCAAAAAGAAATGTGCTACAGCTTTTTGAGCGAGGCCTCCAGATGTTCCATTCAGTGGGGAAGAAGGCCTTTGTGACAGTTTGTGTGTGTGTGTGTGCGCTCACTTGTTTGTGTTTGTGGTGCCGAGCAGTTCCGACAGCCACACATCCCTCTCTCCCTTCGCTGTAAGAGGGAGCACTATCAAGCCCTATTGTTTCTATTCAATTAGCTGTCATTACCAACGGCAGTTTGATTACTGAGTTCATTTGGCTGGTGGAGAACAATGGAGGCAGCAAGCTGTCTTTTCATTCACCCCGCCACCAATATTGTCTTCCCTAGTGGAGAGAATTAAATGGGGCTTGTCTGTGAGGGATGAGGCGTACGCGGCAGAACCAATGCCTCGCCTTATTCTTTTGGATGTTCTGATGTCCACAAATGCCCGGAGGACAGAGAGCCAAGAGGGGCGGACAAAAAGAACCAGTGTATTCTTGAGCGATTAACAACCTGGGCGAGCTGCAAGAGGAGACAAATGCTCAGCTACATCGATTTCACTATTATAATGAGAACCATTCAATCATGCTAAATCCACAGGGGCCTAGGAGTTAGGAGGTCAGCGCCTCTGAATAGCACAGGCAACAACAATCCATAAATGATCTATTTAATGTACTGATATAAAAGAAAGAGACATTTCACAAATTGGCACCGGAGTGCTTTCCCAGAATTTCCAAACCTTGCTTTGCCATTTTGTTAATTAGGTAGTTTGCTAATTTTCCGGTCAGCTGTGCTTTTTTACCCTCCCTTTGTTCAGCTGGGACTTAATTGTTCGGGCTTTTAGCGAGCCAAAAGCTCTGTCTGAGCACTCACCTCTCCTGTTCCAGCCTCATCCGCAAGGTCTCCTCTTCTGACGCCTGCATGTCCTCGGCTTTAGATTTACTGGAGCCCTTCCTCTCCATCCTGTCCTCTGGCCGCTCATCCTTCCGGTGCTTTCCAAACCTGAGGAAAAGAGAAGGGCAGAGTGGATTTAATTGAGACTTTAATAATTTCTACCCCAATATGGATATGTATTTTTTTTTTCTACAAAAGTACGTTTCTTCCTTTGTCCGGGAAATCCAGGTGAAATACTCTGTAGGAAATTAAAGTGTCAAACTGTCAAAATCCTCAGGTCGGATTTGTGCTGGGAAGACAGCTCAGAAGGAGTCTCCCCCGGCACCTATTCGTTATTGAGAGAATAACTTAGGCTTTTTCATATAAATGCAATCAGAATGCATCAAGCCATATCAAAAGATAACTCAACATAGTGAATTCCCACCCTGCCAAGTCTCCATCCAGGACGGCAGGAAAGATTTAGTGTATGGCGTTGAAAGTAAGACAGAAAATGGGCAAAACTCTGCTTCTCTAAAGAGAGGATGAGCTCCCTGTTTCCTCCCCGAGCTGTACAGTTTACTTAGAGTGACGGGTGCAGTGACAGCTCATGATTTAGTTTTGAGCGAGGTGGGAACAAACTACCTGCAACCGGGTAAAATGTAAGCGAGGGAAACGGGCAACCTCCCTGGCATCGTCTGTAACTTTCTAGGCAGTGCTGCAAACTTTTACATTTTAATGACGGACTGACACACTGGCAGCAGTAAATCCGTGACAGCTTTATAGCAAGGTGAGAATAAGCCAAGGCGATGATCGTAAATTCCTCTCGTCGGCCATGTTCGGCGCTGGGCGACTAGAAAAGGCTGGAGACTCCGACTGACGGAGGAGTGTGAGAACATGAATAGAAAATAGAAAGGAGGCCGGCAGTTGACAGGAAGTACAGTACATTTACGGGACTGCACAAACACACACAGACAGTTCTATTATCTGACTCCACTGTCTGGGACTTCATCGATCACATCAGTGTGCTCGTGGCTAACACCCAACTTTGTACATGTGCGTAGAATTTAGGGATGAAAGAGCGCTCCGATGAAACAGAACAGGAAAGGCAATATCATGAAAATATGTCTCTTCCTTCCGCTCCACCGTGGAGCCAGCTGTGGAGGAAGTGCAAAACAGCAGCATACAGAAAAGGGAAGGATCACAGATAATAAGGAAGTGCACAAGACGATCATTTTCCCCATAGAGACAGAAGCACATCTGTATACCATATATGTCCTCAGACACTCTGTTTTGATCTTTGGTATGTGGATTTATATATGTGTATGCTTGCAAACCCTAACTAAATATATAATGCAAGCATTAGGACACCATATTTATGTACAATAATCTATAAACACCAAGATTTCTTAGATCTTTAGTTTGTTCTTTTGAAGGACTGGCCAGTGCACAGACGTGAACTGAGCTACTAAGGTCATTGTGGATACTTAAAAC